CCAGAGGAGCACTCAGAGGAACACCCACTGGAGAACCAAGAGAAGCACCCAGAGGAGCACCCAGAGGAGAACCCCAGAGAAGCACTGGAGAACCAAGAGAAGCACCCACTGGAGAACCAAGAGAAGCACCCAGAGAATCACCCAGAGGAGAACCAAGAGAAGCACCCATTGGAGAACCAAGAGAAGCACCCAAAGGAGCACCCAGAGGAGAACCCAGAGGAGCATCCATTGGAGAACCCAGAGGAGCACCCATTGGACCACCCATTTGAGCATCCATTTGAGCATCCATTGGAGAACCCAGAGGAGCACCCACTGGACCACCCATTTGAGCATCCATTTGAGCATCCATTGGAGAAACCAGAGGAGTACCCAGAGGAGCACCCATTGGAGCACCCATTGGACCACCAATTGGAGAATCCATTGGAGAACCCAGAGGAGCACCCATTGGAGAACCCATTGGAGAACCCAGAGGAGCACCAATTGGACCACCCATTGGAGAACCCAGAGGAGCACCCAGGAGAACCCATTGGAGAACCCAGAGGAGCACCAATTGGACCACCCATTGGAGAACCCAGAGGAGCACCCATTGGAGAACCCATTGGAGAACCCAGAGGAGCACCCAGAGGAGCACCCATTGGAGCACGCATTGGAGAAACCATTGGGGCACCCAGAGGAGCAATCAGAGGAACACCCATCGGACCACCCATTGGAGCACCCATTGGAGAACCCATTGGAACACCTATTGGAGAACCCAGAGGAGCATGCAGAAGAGCACCGAGAGGAGCATCTAGAGGAGCACCCATAGGAGCACCTAGAGGAGCACCCATAGGAGCATCCAGAGGAGCACCTAGAGGAGCTCCCAGAGGAGCACCTAGAGTAGCACCCAGAGGAGCAACTAGAGGAGCACCCATGGGAGGGTTACTGAGCCCACACTGCCACTCATACGGTGTGAGGTGTCATTCCACCACAACAGCTGTACAGAGTTTGTTTGGCCTTGGCTTGATTTGTCATCTGGTGGTACACTGACCCTTGGCATATTACAATGAAACCTCCTGTCACTACCTGATCAGGACCATGGATGTTATGTATATTTCTATAATACTGTCAAACATTACATTGGCTTGTACAATTCACAGAAGAGAACAGAGATAAGTCTCAATTCTAGCTTCTCCAGTCAATCTGAAGGCTGTCTGTCATTTTGACGTATTAGAAAACTGGGGGTGATCCACCATATCATTCTTTCTGGCACTTAAAATACGGGAAAATCCTGGAAATAATTACATGACACTGAACGACACACAGCAACAAGTTCTGAAAGGTTGTATACAGTACAGAGTGGCGCGGGAAGCCACATCCCAAAACACTTTTACACTGCAGGTCACATTCACACATTCACACTACATCTACCCATTGAGATTCCGTCACATGTGGGAGCAACTTGAGGTTTAGTGTCTAACCCAGCCAACTGGGTCCAAATGCAATGCTGTTCATCTCTCCTCAGCCTCATGGCGATGAAATACACATAGCCAGAATTGTTGCATTAAAGGCCAGCTCCACACCCTCACTTTTCATGATTCTTTTTGTTGTTGTCCAGTTATTTTTGCTGTTAACTCTAAAAGTTAATTCTCTTTTATCTCAAGTCAGTTTGGTCTTTAATCCTCATAATATTCTCAAAGAACAGCCCACGTCGTCTTAGGAGGAGTCTGGAGAGTTCCTTCCCCTCTTTTTGTTCTTTGCTCTTCAACATTTGGGAGTCTGTGTGAGCAACTTCTGAAGAAAGCATTCAAAAAGTCTCTCCTGCTGCTACTTAAATTTCAGAGTCAGGGAACGCTTGACCGATCGAGCACGGAAAAGCTACCGATTGAAATGACTACCAAAGCCTCCGGAGCATTGATCTCAATTTCTGCAGGTTTGGGTAAACATCGCCCTGAATGCCTACAAATCAAGTAATTAACACTTAAAACAGGACTGAGCCTCGGCAAGGATCAAGGTCGAATGCCGCATTCAATATGAGCACATAGCCGCGCGTGGAGGGAGATAATGTGGAATGGAGGGGAGAGGATAGGAAGTTAGGAATGAATATTTGAACTGTGTCTGTCTGCGCGCATGATGAGAAGCAGGTGCCCTGTGAATCACCAATGAGACACCAGACATGGCCGCCAGCAGTGTGACATTGACACCATCTTTCTCAGCATTATGTTTCTCGATGCTCTCCTTCCTCGAGCCACGTAACTCACCGCAACAGCTTTGTCATCTCTTTTCAGCTCCTGCTTGTTTTTCTTCCTCTGGTTGTCCTGTATTGATCTCGTTTCTCTGATCTCTCTCTGTGCATCTCTTGTAGTCTGCTCTGTCTCTTACTTCTCTTTACAGTTCTGTTTTATTTCCCTAAATTAAACAAGGGGAAAAGTGATTGTACTGACAACTCGTTTCTCCATGCACGACTGTGCCCGAGGCGCTTTTCTCTGCGAGGCATCCTTTAGGAATATCAACACAGAGCTAAAGGTACAGGCGCATGAATATTCAACAAGTGAGAAGAGACTCACAAAGAGACAGAGGACAGTGGTTTTAGACAAACACATAAACGTGTACAGTTGCACTTCATCCAACTTAAAGCCAGAGGAAGTGTTTGTAGAAACAGCAGAAGAAGTTTATAGGATTATGTCATAACCTCTGATTCCTTCTGAGACTTTTCCGACCTTTCGGCAAAGAAAACCTGACTGGAGTGAAAACTGTGGCTGGTTTCATTAATAGCTTTGAGCGATAAATAAAGTTCATAAAGAAAGGGGAAGAGGGCTCTGATTCAAGAAGCTTTTTATAGACTCTGAAACAAACAACAAACAAACAACTGGCAAAGAAAAAACTGAAACTCCTCAGCCTCCACTGAGCGCTGCACGTTTAGCAAAACCAGACATCTCAGCTACCGATCCGTCAGTCGACAAAATAAATCTCCCTTCCCACGCATAAAAAAAAAAAAAATCAACCAACCTGCACAACTCTGTCCAGTCCTGAGTCAAATACCTCTAACTGTCTTTTATAGTTCAATGATCCTGATGGTGGCTCTGCAGCATGTTTCAAATCCATTACACATCAGCTGTTCCTTTCATTAAATCCTCAGTCAGCATCACTCACATGTCGCTCGTCACTTTGTTTTCTCAGAAAACTCTAAAATAAATTTGACAGATTTTGCTCAATAACCAAAACATCTTCACACTATGGTTATCAAAACGTACCTTCTCAATGTTTCGACACCGCGTTTTTAAAACCATACATATGATCGGTAGTATTGATCAGTACATCTGTGTGAAAGAGAGACAGAGTTAATATCAACTCTGTGGTGTATTTCAACTGTTTCCTTGGACTTCAATATACCTGCAGGATGAAGCTGTTTCCCCTGCAGGTCAACTTGCTGACTGACTTAAACTGTAGTAGAAGATATTTGTTAATTCCATTAATTTAGCTAATGATTTTATATTTAGTTTTTTGGGTCGTTTCTTTGTGTGCTTTTCTTGAAAAAGAATATGATTAATGGTAACTAGTAAATGAATTATACTTAAGAAGCACATTTACACAATGTGACATTCATTCTTTCACACACTGATAGCAGAAGATGCTATACTGTAAAAAGCGCCCATCAGAACTGATCACATTCACACACCGTTGATTCTGCTTTCAGGGGCAACTAGGTGTTCAGTGTCTTGGCACTTTTCTTTAATCTCATCTCTCAACCAGCAAGTCGAGGGACTCAATCCTCAGCTCCTGCAGTCACACGTCAAAATGAGGGAAGAAATTGAACCCCTAATCTGCAGTCGCTCAGTCTGTAGGGACTTCGGAAACCGGAGGGGCGTCGGTCCAAATCCTGGTAAAGATGAAATCTCTAAATTGGTCTGATAGCTAGAGAGGTGCCGGTTCACTTCCTGAACACTTCAGAGGTGCCCTTGAGCAAGGCACCCAACTCTCCCCACACCAGCTCAGGAGCACTCGCTGTGTGCAGCCCACTCCCTCTGACATCTCTCCATTAGCCCATAGGATCCTGTCAGTGCATGTGTGTGTATTTCTGTGTATGTGTGTAGAACGTTCAACAACAGAGTGTAAAATTGGATTAATAAAGTAGTATACCATCTTCAAATTGCTCCCGCTGCTGCATGAATGGATTAGTTAATACTGATTACTGATTTACACAGCAGCCTCTACCATCAGTGTGTGAATGTGTAGATGTGATGGAGCTATACAAAATGCTAGTAGTAGTCAGAAGACTAGAGAAACACTAGCCACTGTTCGGACAAAGAAAGGCGGAAAGCTCAAACAAATCTTCAAAAATGTCACAATAGTGGGATTTCAGTTCAAACATTAGGAGATACAGCGTGTAGGGTTGCAACCAAGCGGCAACCCCCAGTCAGTGCGGATGTGTAAAAATCTGCAGTTCCTCGACTGTCCACTCGAGGCTTGCTGCAAAAGCCTCAGGGTCACATACACACCCATTCAAAAATTCAGAAATAGACATTTTTTACAGCCTGGTTGAAGTTATAACTCATCTGTTTTGTTTTTATGAAGGCTACAAGTTATGCATAATTAAGGGTGTGGCTTTTCTGATTGACAGGTGGGCACAATTAGCTTCTTTGTCAGGAGGCTTAAGCCCCGCCTCTGCTCCACCTATTATGTTACAATATGGTGAATGCCATTGATGAGATTCAGAAGTTTACTTCACAAACGGTAGGGTGATGTCACTGAGACTACAGCTGTTTTTATTTCAGTCTATGAATGCAACCCCTCAGTTTGACTATGAAAACAGTCTTTATGATACTAGTGATGGAGTAATTTGCTGTGCTGGGTGGTTTCTTTCTTTTCCATTTTGCTTATTTACCATCTTTTTGTCATTGCAGCAGCAAGATGCACATTTCCCCACACACACTCCCAGACACACACATAAGATATTCAGCCATCGCCTCGCCATTGACCTCCTCAAAACCGTGTATGCAGCATGCAGTGGACGAAGTAGCTACCTAGTAAGGCCATGAAGCAAATACAGATGGCAAAGAGGGAGCTGAAGCTCAAGCCCACGTCGTCTCTGTAGATGGCCAGCGTCGTCTCACAGTGGCGTCCTCTGTAACCCTCCGGGCAGTGGCAGGTGAATTTGGACGGTGACTGTGCCACACAGGTTCCCCGGTGACAAGGACGCGTGGCACAGAGGGTGTAGACGCAGGACTTCTTCGTCCCGTTCACACGGACCATGTGGCCAGGAGGACACCTGAACAAAAAGTGTTTCCCAACAGAGGAGAGAAGAAAACAAAGAGGCGGAAAACGTAAACAAAGAGAATAACAAATCATGTGAGAAATGAAAACAGCTCGATGTGATTGGCTGCAGATTTGATGACGTGCAGGTGTAATAGAGAAAACATATGACGTATTTTTGTAGGCCAACCCGGAAGTAGCATCACCATGGGGGTCTAATGAGAATCCTCCTCTGGGATGTTTTCATTGGATTTTGGATCATTTCAGAAAATAATCTCTGTGTTAAACTCACGTTTCTGAAGCGTAGGCGTTTTGTTCAGCAGGATAATCTTCACAGATGAACGCCATTTTTATGATGTTTGAAGCGTTAATGCGGCCGACAGAAGTAAAAAGCTAACGTTATGCTACAAGCTAACGACACCACGTAGGATGATTGTGACGTCACTAGCGTTACGCTTCAGACGATCTCCAATAAACTAATCCACGTAGTTTAATAAATAGTTTACTAACATAATATTCACCTTAACCTAAAGATTAAACCTACAGGAGACATCTCCGACTAGTGAGAGAGTTCCCGCCCTCTGTGTCCGGCGTGATGACCTTTAATGTCCCCGACAACCACTGTAGTCACATTTAGCCGCTTGTTAGCAACCGCCTTTTTAAAGACGAGTAAAAACTTCAAACTTCACAAGTGGAGATATTACCTAACGTAGTTTATGTGCTCTAACAAAACACCAACATCTCTTCAGCTTGTGTTAACCACAGACCTTATTTCAGGAGTCTAACCACAAACACATTCAAAATCCTCGTTGACTTTTAGATGTTAGACCCCATGGCGCTCAAATGCTAACTTACTTCTGGTTTTAGGACTCATTCCTGTGGCGCTCTATAATCCCTGTGAGGGAATATAAAAGCATCTGTCAATAAAAGGAGGAAGGGGGAATAAAACTGATCATGTTGGAAATGTTTATTACCATTTCCCGCAGCTAAAAAAAAAGTTAATTACTCTCCTTTAATCCGTGATATTGCACGTGTTCACCTCAGTAGAGAATACACTGGAGGAGATGGAAATGCTGACAGAGAAACTGGCAATAACTAGGATGATTTTATGCACAGAGGGGCACATTTTCTGCCTCACTTCAGAAGGCGCCACTATAATTAAAAGCTCATTTGGGCGTAACAGCTCAAACAAACATTTTATGAGCCCATTAGTTCAGACTCACACTCGGCTCTGGGCTGTACATTTTTTGATGACGACAGAGATGAGTTTCGGCCTCCGGTCTATAAGGAGATTCGTTCACGCTTGTAAGTATTGACTCAACTTTACCGTGAAATGGGAACGTTAATTTAAAACGGTAATGATATTTATCTTTGTGACTATGAAACCAATCAGGACGAGACACTAAAGGGTTAATGTACTGTATCTTCAGACAGACTCCTGCCAAATGAGAAGACGTAAATAAATAGATTTTCTTTATTCTCCATGAAAAGAAAAATCTACTGAAGTGATTATTCCCATTCAGTGGCAGCATGTTGGATGTTGTTGGTGTGTGAGTCTCTCTGAGCCGTCCTCTCCTCTCTCTCATTCTTAACAATAATCTCTGCCTCAAATTAAATTAATCTTGAGTTATAAAAATGTTTAGATATTTTACTGCCATGCATAAAGTTGCAGATACATGTAGAACAGTGCATCTGTGCTGGGTGGGGGTTGTTGCTGCTGTATCAATGATGAAATCGTGACATAGACTGTGGATTATAACGCGGTTTAATCGGCCGAGGTCAGACAGTTACAACAGAACACAATTTGTTAACAATCACGAACTGACAAAGTACTGACAAAGTTTCTATGTTAACAGACTTGCTTATATTCTGTTAGAAGGTACATCCTACAAACTCTTGGCTGCTTTGGTACATCTCTGTAAGGCAAGAAAGAAGACATCAGCTTGACTCGTAAATGTCAGACATATACATTTAATTCTTAGCAAACCTTCTCTTACTACAGACAGTTGGCTCCAAACCAAATATAACCCTGAAGCTATGAGATGTTTTACATAGATAAGGTTACAGCTTCAACCTAAGAGAAGAGTTACTGTCAGATGGCACAAAGTTACCAAAATGTATAAATTCATGAAAAATGTGTACTATCCATCTGCAATCAAATAGTATGCACACAAAGAAGGACAAGATCTCAAACATATGTGGCCAACAGCCTAGCGGTTATGTTGTGCACCACATGTGCGGAGGCTTATCACAGCAGCCATGGGTTTGAATCTGACCTCTGCTCCTTGCTGCATGTCATCCCCCTACTCCCGTCTCCCAACGTTTCCTGTCTCTCTTCAGTCGTCCTATCTAAGTCCCTGTGTCCACTTCAAGTTTATTTCTGAGCACCAGCGACTTTTTTTCAATTGTTTTCAATGAGGAGAGAGCGTTCACAGCAGAAAGCGGCCGCCTGGAGAAAAAGCCCAGCAACCAGTGTCCTTTCTCTGAGCGCTCCGCCTTTGTGTGGCGGAACTTTACAAAAGACACATCGGAAGGCAAAGTTTGGTTTGATAAGCTGAATGTGATGAAAGGGATTCTCATTTCTTTTATTGTCTGAGGACTTATTATTTATTAACACTCAGCCTCTCTACAATTTTCCTCGTGCTGTTTTTTAATTAAAGCAACAAGAAGGAACAAAGTGTAAAATGATTTTCCTTCAGAGCTTAACATCAGTAGCAGAATTGATTTACGGTTTTTACGCTCAGTTCTTAGCTCTTCACCATGCAGACACATTCAAGTCGCCCTCGTTAGAGTCCTGACACAGACTGGCTGTTTGAGTCCAGATCTGTGATTTTATTTCTGTGATGAGGTTCAACACAAGTTGGATAATTTGTCCAAGAAACAAAAGATGGTCTCCTCTAGAAAATACTTTCATTGTAGGAACATTTCTCTCTCTCTCTGTCTTTGAGTTTTGATGTTGACTTTCTTGATTGATTGAGGTAAAAACTCAGACCTAGCTTTTTGAAGCACAACATTTTTAAAGGCAATTAACCGTGGGTGGTATTATTCTAGCCATGACAAAGGCTCAGTGTTCAGTAGTCATTCTGCCTGGTGGGAGTCTGTGTAGGTGTTGAATATGGGAAGTCTGTCAGTCAGCAAGACAGCAGCGCTTCTTGTCCTCTTATCTTTGCCATTAGCAACGAACAGAATCAGTGCTTTGACGAGGAGCATCTTATTACCTGCATGAGCGTGCACACACACACGCAGTCATGAGCGTGCACACGCACACGCAGTCATGAGCGACTGCGACGAGTTTGAGAAGAAGGAGGTGAAGATTGATTTTGGTTTAAACCAAACGTAAATAAAAACAGAAGAATGAAGGCAAAGAAAATGCTTCTGATTTCTTTATTATGTTATCTTTATATTCTCCCTTTACATTCTGTATAACATAACTTACCCTAACCCTAACCTACCTTGTGTTGGTAAGACAATATTAATAATATAACAAATCTATTTCTGTGAATTAGAAAAATCCAATTTGCAGTGTGTCATTATTTGATTATTAGACTGTTGCCCCTGAACACTGATGATCAAACACTATGCTCTCCTCATTTTCCAAGCTCAGGTCGAGTGGTGAGAAGAGAACAAGGCAGGTAAGCAGGAAGGGCGGGAGCGGAGCTGTTATCTGTGAGTGTGTGTATGTTTGAGGTAGGTTGTTTTTTGTGTGTCGCAGCATCGTAGAGGTTAAAGAAACGAGCAGGTGTGAGCAAAATAAGAGCCGTACAAACCGAGAAACGAGGGGCAGAGTGCGAGAACGAGAGCCATTGTACAGAAATAAAGGTTGTTGGATGGATGATGTGGGTGAGTGGATCAGAGGAGTGAAAGGGAATATTAAAAGCGAGAAGGCAGCACTCCCTGAATGGAGGCTGATGTTTTCCAAGGCAGAAAAAATTGCTGAGATTTCTGTATGTGGCTAAGAGCGCCGGGTGTGTTTGATTCGGTCCGTTGCCACAGGAGAGGGTTGTTAGTTTTCAAGCGGCTTTTCAGCGACCACATTTCCCATTTTCCAACTGACAAACAAGCTAGCCCTCGTACATAAAGTCCTACAGCAGTGCATGTGAAATGTTGATCAAGCAAAAGTGCATCCTGACAGGGTCAGAGGGCTATGGGCAAATGTATTATTTCCCACCTTTCCTCATTTGATGCATTTAGCTCAGTCACTGTCTGAGCAGATGGGCTGCACTTCCTTATTCATTGCCTTTTAACAGGCGACATGGCTCTTGCAAAAAACTGCCAGCTCTGGTGAGGTTTTAACTTTGAGAAGTCTCTCTGAGGCCATGTTTGGACTGACAATAACACTGCATCCTCATTCATTATGGATGACACCACAGAGAGCAGAGAGCTCTCTGGCTTTTGTGGTAAAATGTCGATCCTGGCTCAACTTTAGCTTGCAATTTAGTTCAGAGTTCACCATGAAGATTCTGGTCCTGTTTACCACACAACCTCCAAAGCAGAGGGGAGAGTAATTATTGATACCTGCCTGAGTCATAAGTGCAATAACACAAGATACTTTTGATCTAATGAAAGGATAAGACCTGTGAAGAAACCCCTCGTCCCAATTATGCTCTGCTGATAAGTTACAACACAACCAAAACACTCCTCCCTTAAAGAAGATCTGTTCTGCTGATCCATATTTAAATACATACATATAATGTTATAGTCTTGGATGTCCATACTAAACCTTGGAAACGCTTTTTTTAAACACAATATACGCAGTTGTTGGCGTAATCCCCGAACGTGGTTTCCTGCTGCTCTGAACGAGATGTTACGAGAACTTGGTGAGACTTGACCAGAACCTGACGTCAGGTCTCTCGGAGCAAAGTTGTAGGACACGCCCACCCCGCCTGCTCTTTCAAGGATACACCCACCCGGAAGCTCACTCAGATGTCCCTGCGACTGCAAACCGAGCTGGCCAATCAGAGGAAAGTGGGCACGTGGGGAGGCGGGCCTTAAAGAGACAGTAGCTGAAATTAAGCGTTTCAGGCAGAGGCTGAAATTAGGGATTTTACTGACGCCAGTATGAGATAAATAATGAGATATTTGAGCTACATATCTCACAACGCTACTCAATATGTGTCCCAGACTGACATAATTAATAGTGAGAGTGAGGATAATAGATCTCCTTTGATTGTATAAACTGCCCCCATAATGTCATTATCTTTGAATAATCTTTAAACGTTTTGTATTTTGACCTTGAATGAATAAACAGCATGCAGCCTGCAAAAACATAAATTGGCCTTTTTCTGTTAATGCTGTAAAATGATCCAATTTATTCGTTTAATGTTTTTGAGGTTCATCTAGACACTGTTTCCCTCTAAATCGATGTGACTTTAAACACACAAACATGTGTGCAGTGGCTAGTTAAAATAAATAAATGAAAAAATAAATAAATGTGTGACACCACATGAGGTCCAGTGAGGCTGACTTTGAAGCGGCTCCACAGTACTCGACTGCTCCACAGTGCTCATATCAGTTTACGTGACAGCAGGCCCACGACTCAGCTGCTAAATGAGTTTCCTTGCTCATTTGTTTTTCAAAGAGCAGATATCCATTTCAAAATAAACGGCATGAACACGTAAATTGCGATGACCTTCAAGCAGTTTGGCGGTTTCGAGACTTGCTTGCAGTCACCTCTGGTGTTAATCAAGAAAAGTGAGCAGCCAGGCAGGCACAAGTAAAAATATGTTAATTGTACTATAGGAACAGATAGTTATCCAGGCAATCAAGTGAGCAGAAAATAAAGCAGACAGAGGTCAGAAAGAGATAATTTTATGAAGATCAAATTTTCTCATCCCAATTTTTTTGTAATTAGTTTCCCTGTAAAGTTTTTGATTGTATTTATCATGCAACATTAGAGGGCAACGAGTTATCCTGAAGCTGGTTGAGTGTTGAATGACAGACGTTGGGACAAAGCTACAAAGACTTAGCTTGAAAAGTTATGAAAAATGAGTGCAGTTCTTCAAATGTCCACTTGAGGCAGATTGCAAAAGCCAAGGTATCCCCATTGGGTCCCTTAATAACGTGCTTATTTTAACAGCAGGAATAAACATATTCAAAGCCTGGTTTAAGAAACACATTTGTAGTCAATTGCTTCTTTTAATTGGTGTTCACTGTATGGGGTTGGATTTTTTTATAACTCGTCTGTTTTGATATTTGATTTTAAGACAAATAGTTATTAATATATTTGCAGAATTAGTGGTGCAGATGTGTTGTGACTGTTTGCCAGGCGAATAAAGGCCAGCCTCAGCTCCTCCTCTTTGTCTGTTACAAGTTTGACAGAAAGTTAGATAGAGTCAGTATTTCCAATATAGCGCCAGTCATCAATCACCAATGAATGATGTCACAGTTTTATACAGTCGTTGCAGAACCTTGTCTGATGGCACAGCTGGAGAGATTTGTAAGTGTTTGAGAAGCTCATTAAACATCCTGTCTAAAGCATTGGCTGCAGCCTGGGGAAAAGATAGAAATGATCAAAACAACAGTCCACACCCCAACTTTGAGACTTTGACTCCCCTCTTTGTGTCATGGAAAAGAGCGGGGACAACAAACTAAAAATAAAGATTCCACTTCTAATTTAGGCTCTGTTTGATTCCTGCTGTATTAAAATGTGTATTATAAGATGTCCTCATTAAGTCAAACAATATGCATTAATGTAAATACATAGAGGCAGTGCTGGTCAGAGTGCTAAAGGGCTTAACATGTGGCTCCAGGAAGTAAAAATCCTGTTCATTTTCTTCAAAACAAATTTGATTATTGGCCACGATGTCATAACTATCCAAGGTCGACTCACCCTGAGTGTGAAACAATGGTTTATGCTCCTGTAGCAGACACTAGTTCTTAAGATATTAACCTCGTTTTAATAAAAAAACACATGGTTTATTCATGATATCGGGGGAGAAAACTACACTACTCTAAAATGTCAATGGAGGATTTAATTGGGGAAATTTACTTCCAGAACCAGAGCCGCCAAAAAAGTGTGTGGTCACTGTTGAGCTCTATTGAGGCTGAAAATGGGTTTTTGTTCATTTGCTCCAGTCGCACTCGCTTCAGACTTGATCTTTGTTAAAAGTGTTATAAAATCGGCAGACGGTGTGACGATACTGATGATTAATGTGGACATGATTTGTTATTTTATTCAGAACCACATTTTAAATTGCCATCACATTAATATAAACAGCAGCAGGTCTTATTCCATGAACTGGCTGTATGATTTATCTGATGTTTTCAATAATTCAGTTGTTATGTGTTCCTGACGATTGCTCTCAATCATGGCAGCCTGGCCCCCTTTTTTTTCTGGTTGTTGTCAACATCTATTGGATGGTAATTGGCTGCCACATTTCCCTGCTTGCAGCCCAATTTCTCTATGCACAAGACACTTTTTATATTCGACAAAATGGTTGCCATGGAATCGGCAGTCATTCCCCCAGCTTGGGAGCAAATAGAGGCTCAGGCTTATTTTAAATTTATTTTTAATGTTTTACTGTGTTCTCCACTCGGTCAAGGCCAATCCATTTTAAAGCACAGTTTAGTGGTTAAGAACAAAAACTATACCAAGGTCAAAAGTTGATAAATGACTTCAGAGGTGGACTGAGGGGGTTTAAATAGTGAGTCTTCATGCCTTTGTGTCAAAAATGACGAGTGTGTATGACGCACATGAACTCAACTGTGCACTTTCATCTGATGCGTATTGATTAGTGTGTGTACCTGCACTCGTGTACCCTCCACAGGTCCACGCAGGTGAAGGGGGCGCTACATTGGTTCCTTTTGCAGGAGTCAGACGAGCACCCAGGGGAGAGACCTTGCATGCTGACCTGGGAAACCCCATCTCGGGGCTGGCTGTCCAGCGGCATGTAGCGACCATTGAGGCGTAAATCCCTCATGCAGCCTGCAGGGAGGAAAGTGGAAAAAGAGTTTAGTGATACAAGAAACACACTGTTATCTACTTTCACTGACACAGATGCAGAATTTAATTAGCCTGAGTTTTACCTCGTGTACCTGGTGAGCAAATCAACCACATGTCCCCGCTAGATTACTGGCTCCATTTCTATACCACATAAATCCATCCTGGTTTTTTAAGACTCAGACTGCTCAGGCATAATCAGTGGTTTCTACGGATATTATATCAAACTTCTTGTGTAAAATATTTTACACGGAGTTTCTTGTTGTAAGGTTTTATCTCTTGCAGGGTCTTAAAATGCAATTCAAGCACAAGAGGAAGCTCTCACAATGCTGACAGCCTGATTTGCATACATGTTGGATACTGTATAATGTGCTCCCCGGTGCAATCATAGCTGGAGCTGTTTACACATGTCACTGCTTCCTTGGTTTACATGCCTGAGACACTTAACAAAAAGGAGTAAACATGTCTGAAAGGCTGTTTGCAGAAGTGCAGAAAATAGGAAGCAAACAAGTTATTTATCCAAAGACATAATTCTAATAGAGGGGTTTGTGTTTGCTGGGAGAAAGACCAGGTGTGACGATTTGTCTCTGCCTTTCTTAGGTATTGTAGCAGACAGGGTGCAGACTTCATGCTTGTATTAGGGAGTGGATGTGGCAAAGCAGACGAGAGAGAGATGATGCTGCAAACTGTACAGTTATTGTGAGGTTAGGAGTCTCAAGAATGCCCAAGATTGGTGCTCGTGGATACCAAGAGAGGGTGGATTGTAATTTTTGCTAAAAGTGCAGCTGTGGGATCCTCACAGTGTTCAGTAACACTTAATGCGTCTGATTCTGAAGACTGGCCTTCAACACCTCTCTGCCACCAAATAACCTAAACAGGTGATACACGTATAAATCCCCCCTTAACCTCTCCTCATTAACATTCAGATTTTTTCTTTTGTTTTGTGCTTTGGGACATTGGACTGGTTTATCAGTTGATGATGAACTCGAAGTTATGGAACTTTTTTTTTTTCCAATGGAATCTGTTTCTTTTGTCCTGAACTTACAAATGAAAATGGGTGAAGACAAACGAAGCTTGCTTTACTTTCCTTTTGTGGGAGGATTTAGCTTTTAATTAGGGCCTCAATTGTCTAACTTTTGCCCTGAGATTTTGAATGACGGACTAAGCTGTCTGTCTGGCAGCCATTTTTGATAAACCTTATAAATGTCAGCATTCAGTTATGCTACAGTAGGCCATCATTTCAGTCATTTTTATGACAACCTTTACTACTCACATGAACAACTACTGATGCAGGATCTTGGGGTTGTGCTTAAAGCAGACTGAACGCTCAGATTATTAATCAGACGGGTTATTAACAACCCTTTAGGGTAACTATAATTATCAGAAAAGAGAAAACAAAGGGGAAAACTTAAAATTGTCTTCAGCTCTGCCCAGGTGAAGCTACTGATCACCTGACGAGGTGCACCTGGCATCAGTGCTTACAATGCCAGTGCTGGCTTCAGGAAGAGAGGCTTTTGGAGTTGGGACTGCTGTACCCGTCATGCAGGGATTGTCTGTTGTGTTTTGTTATATAAGTTTCTCTGTTGATCTTTGTTATCTTTCAGTTTGCGTGATGATAATAAATCCATTTGTTTTGACTTTGTTAAGGTGTATTAGTGTGTTTTATTGGGTCAATTTGTGGATTGTTGTTAGCCCCATGGGCCACCTTACGGTGGGGCGTAACAAATGGGTGACTTGGTAAAAAAATAAAATAGTAGGGGACCCAGAACAGAACCCTGAGGAACCTTGGTTTAACATTAACACACTGATACTCTCCAGGTTACCCTATAGGGGCAGACTTTGGACAAGGACAGCTGATTTTTGAGGTTAAGCATAGCAGCCAGTTACAAGGTATAGTTGGACTGATGTTGCTAGGAAGGAGCTCAGTGACCAAAGACTGCAAAAGGTGAGAGGAGATGGGGTTGAAAGGTACGGTTAATGGGGGTCAAATCCAAATAGGATAGTAACCAAAGTTCAAGTTGAAGATGAGGAAGATAAGAGAAGGTTGTAAAGTTGGATGATGGATTTTTTTTAATTGTAAAATAGAGATTTTAGTCGCAGATAAAGAGACAGAGAATGACTCAAGAATAGACTGATAAGAAAGCACATCCATTAAGTGCCTGGATTTACAACATTTTCAGCTGCCTTTAGCTCTGTTAGCATGCAATGAGTCATACAACCAACGACCTGGAAGGGTTAATAGAGCCTGTTGAGAGGTGAAAGAACAAGGTCAAAAGAGAAGGATATATACAGATGGGGATATCTGAAGCAACTTTAGAAGCCATGGATACGATTGAGAGAGATGGTGAAGGCTGCAGCAGTTAAGGTTAACATAATCAGTATGAAAAAAGGAGGTTTGAGTGATTGACAGAAATGGGAAGAACATTATTGAAAAAGAGGACTTACAGGCAAGGCTAGCAGAAGAACATATCCTTTTTGAAGGAAGAAAAAAATAATTTGAAAGAGGATGGATGCAGGCTATTATAATTGACACCCCGCTTTGCTCGCTGGTCTGGTTGTGTGGGTGAAAGTTTGCTAAGGCTAGAACTACAGGGCTAGAAGTGATCTGTGTGTGATCCAAGTCGAAGTTGGAGCAACAAAGTTCAGAGCATGCAGGGAGGCACAGCCAGACATGAGCTGCTGTAGACAGCAGACTGCAATCCCACAGGCCAACGGTGATAAGGTATTTCATTGTGTGGAGCCGGTGGGGTAGGTAAGTGCAGAGGTGACAGTGATGTTGAGAGTAACTGTGTGGCCTTTAGAATCTGAGAGAGGATTGTTGTCTAGGAATGGAAATTACACATACAAGTTTAGAGGAAGCAGGTTAAAACGCCTTCTAACACCGTGTCCTAACACCACACAAGTGTTATATGTCGCATTGCGCATGATCGCACGCTGGCTGTTCACACTGCATCTGTTAAATATATAATTCTTGTGCTGTGTGAATTTCAGTTTCCCCTTGCAAACAATATGACATCAAGTGTTTTTGTATTGTAGATGAACAAACTGAAATCTGTGCTTTGGATTTAGAAGCTGTTGACTCAAATCACAACACAGAGACTCGTCAATAAACGGCTTGAGATGAGCCGATAAAAAATTTCTCCAGGTGTTTTTGACACAAGTCAAAGCACATGTCAATCACGGATGTGGATACTATTTATGCACCGTTATCTCCCCTTTGTACAACAGCTTACAGCAATCACAAAGCTGTGAAGTTGTGCAAATGTATGCAAGATAAAATAGAGGGCTCAAGAGTGCACCCTACGTCATGCTACCAAACCGAGAGGAGGATGGTGTGATATCTTCTTACTGCCTGCACTCAGTGACAGTGCTGCCCTGTCACATGGAAAAAAAACATCTAAAATCAAACAAACGATCAACATGCCTTTACATGTCAGTCCTTTCAGTCAAAGCAGAGTACCTAGACTTTGTTTATCAGACTCTGAGGTAATGCTTAAAGTGGTTTCTAAAACTCATTTTGTGTAACTCAGTGTTGCTAGTGCGTTAATAAAGAGCAACAGAGGCAATACACTCCAGAGGCGCACATATATTTATCGTGTTTATTTTTTATGGCTTAATTGCTTACTTAGTGTAGTCAGTTTTGTATTTAATCCCCCACTCTGTCCCTTTTGAAAATACATTAATAAAATCAAACGCAAACACACCCAAGTGCACACACATTAACACACGCACAAACACACCGAGTACACTTCTCCCTGCCACAATCCATCACGTCTACCTCTTCTGAAGGAAAATGCTTTTAAAGTCCATTTAATAAACATGCACAGTCATTTACCGCCTGAGGCACAGCTGTCTACACCTCTAACTGTCCAACTCCAGGGAGCGCTCTCTCCTTCTCTTTAACCTACGTATATGTACATAGTTCAGACCTCTTTTTCTCTGTTATCATATAGTACCCCTCCTTCTTTTACTTCAATGCATTCTCACCAGACCGTCTTTCTCTGCCTGAATCTTTGTTTTAGTCAACATTTTGGGGTCACACAGACGCTACAGTCAAACTTTTCTGTCTGCCTTGTAGACGGGTTACGAGACAACCCAAAAATAAAACTGTACATGACTCTTTCCCAAACTTTACAAAGCAAAGACAGTCTATTTTGTTTTGTAGGCCGACCCAGAGAACAATCCCTCCGTTAGCGTAGGACTGTGTCTGACTGCTCTATACACTGATCAGCCATTACACTAAAAGTACTGACAGGTCAAATTAATAACACTAATTATGTCATTATAAGCCCGGTCGCCTTGACTACAGTCAACTCTGAGTTTGTTTTCACCGGGGATGGGTAGAAGAGAGAAACACTCCCATGATTCCCCGCCAGCAGACGTATTCTTTTGTTATTGTTTTGATTGAAAGCCCCCTGGTGGTGGGATTTATATAGCCTACTGTGCGTTTGAAAAGACAAATGGTTCATTATCAATTACAGTCCAATAGTTATCTTCAACAAATCCAATGTAGACTTAGGATAAAGAGATCTTTTGTGTTCTCTTTCTCTCTACTCGATGTTGTTTCTCTTTTCTTTGCAGTTATTATCGTCGGATCAATCTTCGCTATGCAACAGAGAATCCATGTTGATGCTAAGCTAACGAGCTTCTCAAAACAGAAAATAAATACAGACTCTTTTACTCATTTAAAAAAATCCGCCCATGTTCATGTCATACGTACCAGTATCTCTCACACATATTTGCAAAAGCAGTACGACAGTCAGGCACACACACACACACACACACACACACACAGTCCCATACCTCCCAGACCATCTATACACTAAGCCGTGGAGACGTCCATCATCCCAGTTAACGATCAAGATGCATTTGAGTGAATAAGCCATTAAAGCGTCACTTCAATCATTCACTGACATGTTAAATGTCAGAAATTCTCCTCTGAACCAGGCTTGTTTGAATAGATAAAAAACATCTATTTCTGGTCGCACTTCTCAGGAAGAATACTTCTTACGCTGTCTCATAAGTGTACAGCCTGAAGGACACCAACCTTTTCACTTTATGACACATCGCATTATCTTTGTCTCCCACAGGTTACAGACAGTGTCACTGTGTTATGTCACCACTTTGACACCGTTTGATCCAGCAGTGTACCACTGAGAAGTTCAGGAGGATACACGCTGCTGTTGGTTATCACCTTCATGAGTTCCCTGCAGAAAGTGTTTGACCCTTTCAGTTGTCAACACATTTATCGACCTGTGATGAAGACTAGAAGTGAATAAATAACAAAATGATTTGGTACTTGTGTTTTTATCTTTTCATAAAGCTTCTATCAAGTGAGAACTGTGATGAAATCCTCCGCCATGTCCTTGTGTCTTTGAGAGAAATTCATTTAAATCCATTTAACCCTTTTTAACACTGTCAAGACTCACGATGGTAAAAGAAAGACATTTCTAGGAAAAAAGTAAAAAGAGGTTAGAGAATAACTGGCAGGTTCATGTTTTATTTTTTAAATTTAAACAAAAACCTTTTAGATATGGCTGTTGACAAGGCCAAAAACTTGATTTTGTACATTTTACAAAACATAAGGGCTTAGATTCAAAGGAACAAGTTTCTGTTTTCATCGAAGCAGCTAAATAGACTTTTTGTTTCTTTGTACATCACGTCAACTCAGGGTCACATGGGGGTTTCGGTGTCTCTGACCTTAACTTGACTCTTACAGTAGAAAGTGTATCAGAAAACTGTTCTCTATTTCCTCCTCTTCGTCTGTCTCTCCCGCTCTTTCTGTCTCTGCGTCAGAGTCAGATATAGTCAAAGTTTAATGTTCAAGTGCAATTGTGCAAGGAGGGAGACGAGGACCAGGAGAGCACAAAGCAGACTGCACAAGTCCCGTTGCTGTCCCCTCTTATCGACATAGACTGTGGTCCAGAAAGAAACATGGAGGTTTTTGTAAGAGGTGTCAGCACCTGGTTAAGGGATTGGGCAAACATTGTTGTGATTTTCTCTGTGCTAGGTGGGAAGAAAATGTTCTCATTGTATTTTTAACAAGTTGTCCTTCAGCCTCCAGCTCCTGCAGCTGCTCTCATGCAGACTTTCTGAACATTGACAGCTGCATAGAGCTCGCGTTCTGTCCATAGAACATCCAACTCACAAAAACCTGTCCTTAGGACCTTTGAAAGGGCTTCATGAAAATAATTTACAGATTCAAAAGAAGCAATAAAAAAAGCTTGCAATGACTTGAGCTCGTGCAGCGCTTTTCTCGTCTTCGGACTACTCAAAGCACTTTTACCTTGTGTACACATTCACACACTGATGGCGATGGCTGCTATGTAGTGTTAACTAATCCCATTCATACTCATTCATACACTGGAGAAAAAGAGGATTTTCTGGCACAAACTTCACCAACTAACAAGGTGCATGAAGAGTGAAAGACTTAGAAGAAGTCAAAATGCTCCAGTAACAGTTGTAGTAAGAAGATCAACTTTATTAACAATTTAGACCGACGCGTTTCGGCTCGTGGCGTTCATCAGGGTCAGACGCTATCGTCTTTATGAACACCTACGACCTTAATGATAGTATTAATGACGTACGATGATGATGATGATGGTTTTGTTTGATAATGACGATATTTAGGACGGTTTTGATGCTGGTTAAAGCTCTTAAGATCAGCTGTTGATGTCGTGCTCTGCCACTGGTCACTTCCTGTCAGCACCTGTGTGTCAGATCGGACTTAAAGCTGTTTGTTAGCTCGATCCTTGCTTGTGTTGTTCTTACTCTCTGATGTACATTTGGATAAAAGCGTCTGCTAAACGAATTGTAGGATTTTAGAATCGAACCCCAGACCTTTCGACCATCTCTTAAATCAGAAATCAAATCAAGTCTTCTAGCGTGTCCCCCGTTCTAGTTTAATTAACCCAAAGCTTATGACAGCCGATTGCAGGTTTAATTCTGAGTAAATTACACCTCATCACTTACCCTGAAAGCTCTTGTTGACTCCAGACGGGAAGCTGTTTCCCAGCATCACGACAGTCGGGTCAATGATGATTTCTCTGCTGCGGCCTCTCATTCCCGTGACCTCCCTCTGCCCTCCGCCGCCGTCCAGCCGCAGCGTCAGCTCGTTGTCATGCCGATCCAGCAACACCTCGTGCCATTCACCGTTGTCGAGGCGATAAGCAGGCAGGGTCAGGTTGTAGTCCCCGTCGCCAAGGTTGAAGAAAACACAGAGGAGGCCCTGGAAGACCTTCAGTGAGAAAAGAGACCGTTTCAGTGTGATGTTTGTTCAATTTCACTTCAAGTTTTCTAGTCTGGAAAAACTAAATGTGTGACAAATATTAATTAAATCATCGCATATCGAGACATTTTCAGAGTATAACGCACGTTCAACCGCACAAAGAAAGTGTTTAATCCATTAATCATCACGGACAACATTAGCTTATTGAGCTTAATTGAAATGCACTGGACTAACACGTAATGTTAGGGCTCGACATTAACACGAACCACAAGAAGAGCAGCGAGCCTTTTTAATAAATTACCATGATGTCTCATTTGGATCTTTGCCAGGGAACGCATTAGTATTCAAAGTTTGCTGTTGGGAGCGTTTGTCGAAGCAGCAACAGTCTTGCTTTTTCTTTACAGTTCACTTTATTTTTTTTCAAAATTCTATTAAACAAGGTACGACGCCTGAACAGGGAAGATTACTTCCTTTTCAAAGGTTTATAACTGGAGCTGACAGCTGAAGAAAACTTTTCCTTCTTGGTGTCATTTATTATTAGCACTTGCCAAAAATGTCGGACAAATTACCCCGGCTTCCTTTCTGTTGACGTCTTTTAATGGCAGCAAGCTTGTCTCGAAGAGTTTGTGTCTTTATTCAATCATGTTGTAAAGATGATGAACTAACTTCACAGCCGTGTTCAGTTATGATAACCCACTGCAGGTTTCAAGATAAATATATAGCAGTCAAAATACAAGTCTCTTGAAATGTATAATAAAACTCATCAGAATTTTGTGACAGCAGCTCAAGCATCGGCCACCCCATGGAGTCCATGCGCCAAAGTATTTAAGTAAGTCTCATTTCCATGTTATTCATTTTAATAAATCATTTTCTGAATTCACTTGTCTCTCCTGATTGAACTTAAGTTTGTCAAAGCCACCGGAGAAAAATGAAAAGTTATGATCCATCTGGGAGTAAAAAAGAAAGCAAGACACTGGATCATCAAAAGAGAAGGATAATATACCCCCTCCAACCGCTGATAGAGTAACTATTATTTATAAACCAAAGGGGGTGAATGTTGGTTGGAGGGTCCTCTCTACACCCCTGCTTGTGCAGCAATCAAGGTAGAGCCACGTATGCTTTTCCAAGGAAGTTGTAAACTCAGCTCTCCTTACTGGTTTAGTCACTCGGCTACCCATCGGCAGTCATAGGCAGATCACCGCATGGGCAGAGTGGGCGTGTGCCCCGGGCCCGGCAAGAGCCCAGGGCCTTAGCAAAAGAGAGTCTTAGCCTTCAGATATATCTTTCACTTTGGTTTTCTTAGCGCTGTTGATTGTGTAAGGGCGACTATTGAAAAGCTGAGACACAAAACGTCACAGACTGCTTCAGTAAACGGACAAAATGTTTTTAATTTGCTGAGGGCCTTGAGCCCGATTGCAGCACCCTCTTACTTCCTGCACCATGAATTCTTAAATACTCTACTGTATTCGCCTCAAACAGATAACACTTTGGCATTTAATTGCCCGCTGTCCTCCAGTCGAATGGGGCTTCATAGTATTCACGCTGATGATTGTTTTCAGAATTGAAATCTGAAACTTTCTAACTCTTCAAAAGCTAACACAACTCTGACCTGTTTTATTAGCATTATCTCCAAACCAACCGGTGGACTGTTTTCATTGAGGGCTATTACCCCCCCCCCCCCAAAAAAAAAAAATAAATAAATGAAAAAAATCAGTCAATCAATCATCCAGTGAACCAATAAATAGTTTCAGTGTTTTTAGATGCAAAAACCAAATGACATCCTCGGCTGAGGGGGAGAAATCTGTTGGACTGACCCGAGTCCAAGTCTCTTGTTTTCAAGCTAATTGGGACAGCAGAAAGAAAAGGTTTTACTTGGTTGGTAAAATGCTGGATCAATAGACCAATTTAGCCACTTGGCCATTAAGCCAGATAAACTCCCTGGAGGTTAGCAAACAGGGAAACTAAGAAAACCAGTTGTTGACAACATACACTTCTACTGTTTTAAGTTCTCAACCTCCAGACCACACCTTCATTCATCCTTCTATTTTACATATATATTAACACAAGCACTTTGGGGACAGCTCATTGTAATTTGTGCTATCGACATCGGCTTAAAATATATTCTAAATAAGACGGTGCGGTGGGAAAGCTGACATTTTCAACTTGGGATTTGTTGACTTGCACACACATGCCCCGCTGTCAGTGCTTCTGAGACACACACACACACACACACACACAGTAGAGGCATGCTGCTGAAGGACATCTTGTTGAGGAAAAGTGTGTTGTAAGAAGTGACGTGGGGACACCAAGAAAAAAAGAAAGAGAAAGGTGACAATGAGGGAGAGAAAAAAAGAATCAGTCATCTCATGTTTAGACAACAAGCTGTTTTCTCTCCGTCCTCAGATCTTGTGACAAAAACTGTTCCATTTTAGGATTGGCTGTGATGCCAACCCGCATGTCTATCATATAGTGATTGAGTGTATGTGTGTGTGTGTGTGTGAATGACAGAGAGTAAGGGGGCGAGAGAGAGAGAGGGGGATAATAAGTCCAAAGGCCGTTTTAAGAAGGATATAGGGTGGTGTGGGGGTCTTCCTCATTTCAATTTCAAAATCGTTTCCTCCAAGTGTCCCACTGAGCATAATTTTCTTCCCTCCATCTCCCTCTGCCACCGCTGCCACGTAAACAGAGGAACGAGATGAGACGGGCAGACTCAGAGAGAGAGAGAGAGAGAGAGAGGGAGAGAGAGAGGGATGTGAGGAGGAAGAAAAAGTGGGCGGCTAAAAATTATGCCAACCACTCCTCCTCGATGTATAAAGACAACAAAAAAAAAAAAGTTTTTCAGTCATGAACTTTGTCAAAAAAAGACAAAGACAGCGTCACATGTCACCTCTCACTGCAGCTCTTCCTCAATGCTCCTCTCTTCTTTTCTTTCTTTCATTTCCACCACGTCGAGCCCTTCTCTGAATCCAGCTTTCCATCTGCCAGCCCTCAGTTTGCTTCTCAAAGCAGCCTGTTAAAGTGCTGGACAGCTCCAAGGTTGCGTAGTCGGAGAAGCATGGCTCATTTCAAGGCTCTGTGATGAAGTATTAATTATATTTAGAATCCACTGGGGCAGCGCTTTTTAACCAGGCGCTCTCACAGCCACCTGATTTTACCCCCAATTAAAGTTGAACGGAGCAGAGCAATTTGGCTGCTGCTCCGGCTCCCTCGGTGCCGTGCAGAGTCAAAGTGTTCAATGGCGTGTGTGTCTTTGCAGGGGCGTGTAGGTGTGTGTGTGTGTGTGTGTGTGTGTGACTCCATTTTAGAGTAAACAGTCCCACTGCTGGGACGGTTTCTGTTCCCCCAGATGCTTCCTGTGACAGACTGCCTGCGATGCTGCTGCCTTTTTGGAAGTGCAGGCATGTGCAGATGATGTGTTAATCTCACCCTTCTTCTCTTGATGAAATAATGGCGTGCAAATGGAGATTATGCGCTCATTTAAGAGTCTCGTGCATATTTCCTTCACCTTAAATCATACCGGGAAATTAGAAGAAACCACGCTCATTAGGAGAAATACCCTGCTTCACATTTACACATGTGTTTCTGACTTTATTCCCAGAATACTTTCTCATCCCTTGGAGTCTACAAATATACAGACTATTGATTTCTTCATAAGAAAGAATATGCACCGCTGAACAAACAGCCCTGCTTTCTTAGCAGCCTAAAGGCAAATGAGTGTAATTTATGTGAAATACTTTGTATGTACTGTATGAACACACAAAGGTCGAGCATTACATCTTGTAACTGAGAGTCTTAATCTCAATGAGTTTCTCCTGGTTTAATACATTTAAAATAAAGTAAAAACCGCCAAAAAAAGGATTTATTTTACATATTACAAATACATTTAAAATCATCGTTGTTAGACGAGCAGTTCAACGCTGCTTGCTGCCTTCAATGCGACGTGTTACAAAGCCTGACTTCATATTTTCTCTCGTCTTAAATAGTGCAAAAGGGATTTTTTTTAAACAGGAATGTTCTAGCGAGCCAAAGCGGATCATAAGGCTTCCATCAGATATGGTAATATGAATTATGCCATTGCACTGCAAGGAGAAAAACCTCCTCTGGGTCTGCTACTACCCTCCAAATCATTGGCATTGAAAGAGGGACACCTAAACCTTGAGGGTCCAATTTGATGAACCAGCTCTTTAGAAGGGAAGCATATGGATTTATGAAGTGAACCACATGAACCACACGTGTCGTCCCAACCACCACCCGACGCCCAGCCTCCACCATTGGACTGCGTCGTCCAACAACCACCGCCGTCCTCATTCATGCACGGCGTGCTCCGACCTCCACCTCAGCGAAAAGGAAGTGTGGACAACAGGAATGCAAAGGAGAAATCCTTCCTGCATATCATCCCATATGCTCTTTGGTAAAGCATCTCAAGATAACACTTGTTATGAATTGGTGCCAAACAAATAAAGATTGATTGACTCAATGAAGCACAGAGTTTGAGCAGTTTTTTTTGTGACTAAATATTCTATCTTGTTTCTTTCTACAGGTGATGTGGACCCATCAGGAGAGTTGAGTCACTTGGTTCCCTCACACTGCCCCCTTCCCGTTTGGCTGGAAAGGGACAGCGTCAGTATTGAGTTAACATTTAGCTGTGTGTACGAGGTGATGGCTTCTGATTGAGACCTCAAGATTTGACCTTATATTCTGGTTCTATGGATGTGCAGACGCCACAGGTCGTCCGGTAAGAACCTGGGATGACAGTAACGAGTCCAGTCCGACACAAACTCTCTCTTTGAGATGCCACTCATCTACTGAAGATTAGTTTTATGTTCAGTGTGTGTGTGTTAGTGTAATAAGCATCCAAAGAACAGAGGGGAGAGTGGGGTGCAGTCGTCTTCTCCGCAAGTGATGCTTCACTGACATGGAGTTTGATTGACAGGACGGATAAGGGGTCAGAGGTCAGTGATGGGTCCAGAAGAGGGGGCGTTGTTGATGCATATGGGCTGCTTAAGTGAATATGGAGTGATGACATGAGGGCGTCTTCACTGATAACTGCGGAAAGCGGGTGACCTTCTGCACAAGCTTATTATATTCAGTCAGCCACAGTGGAGAGGACCTCGGTCACTACATTGAAGTGACATGGTTAGTACTTGTTATTCTTGTATGTCCTCCGTCTCTGTAAAAGTACTATCTGATTCACTGTGTGGATGAATGATGTTGTATTGATGCACGCTTAGTTTTCTTTTGAGGCTGTGACCAGGAATAATGTGGATTGTGATGATAGGTCATGTGACCGTTTGTATTGAATACACCTGAATGCCCGGTGATTATGCTGGGGGAACCTGAGGAAGCTGAAGGTGAAACGTGTTGTTCGCTCATAATAAAGTTACAGAAAAGTAATTTTCAGTGCATCTCGGATTATTTATCTTTTTTTCATTGCATGTTCCTGCAACCGAGCAGCACCTGAGACATAACCTGCAAACTGCTAATAAACTGACAGAGAGCTGGAGTGACATAAATGATTAACATTATCACTAATAGAAAACAATTCATTTCTGTAGTTTAATTACTTGAAAGAGCAACAATCCCCGTGAGCTCAAAGTTTGCAGTGGATGTTTCTGTGTTCAATGTTTCCTTCATCAGAAACCTTTCAAGGAAAACTCAAGCCGCTGAGATCACCAATTCAAAGATCTTTAAGTCCACATGTTTTGAATCTTCAGTAGCCGCAGTTTCCCCAAAACTTGTTGGTAAAAAGTTTTGAGAAGGTGACCCTCTATCGACTGTGCACTCTCATTATTCTGCTTAAATCCTAATTTGTTGCTACTCTGTGTATCCTAACTGTTTAATGCTTTTCATTATGCTGTGTACATTTTTATCGGCTGGTGATTTATCACTGAAGGTTGCTACTCGAATGTAGGTCAGTCACACGGAGGAAGCCCAGGGCCAGAAAATAATGCATCAATGTCCTCCGAGAACGTATAAAAGACTCTATAGATACTCTATACTTCTTCTCTGTTTGCACTTTGCACCATCTCAGTTTTTTTCCCTTTGCATGTGGCACTTAAGTCAATCGTTACATCCATCCATCCATCCATTATCTATACCGCTTTTTCTGTTCAGGGTTGCAGGAGGCTGGAGCCGATCCCAGCTGTCACTGGGCGGGCACGTCTTGGACAGAACGTCAGTCAATCACAGGGCGGACATATAGAGACAGACAACCAGCCACACTCACACAGCTCACAACAGTTAACTTAACGAGCATGTCTTTGGACTGTGGGAGGATGTCAGAGTACCTGGAGAGAACCCATGTATCCACAGGGAGAACATGCAAACTCCGCACAGAGAGGCGCCTGTCAGACGGGGATTCAAACCAGGAACCTCCTCGCTGTGAGGGGACAGCACTAACTACCGCACCATCATGCAGTCCCTAAACCATCACAATTTGCATATACTCAATCACTGTTTACACTTTGAGGAACATTGCAAATCTCTCAAAGTAAGAAATGAATAAAGTCGAACAAGGACATTGACAGTTGTATTCTGATGCTTCATCACTCACTCACTCACTCACTCACTCCAAACACCGTCTCCACTAAATATTATAATCAAATGGTGGAGTAATATTCTCCACTGTGTAAAATCCGCAGGAGAGGAAACAGATTCCAGATAACATCACGGCCAAGACGCATTTCTTCAGTTATTTCTTTAAACTGAGACCAACGATCCAAGCTGAGTTCATATCAAAGAGTATGAGTATATATTTAAACTCAAAATAATGTGGTGTTATGGCTCACAGTTTTCTTGTCATCACATTCATGATTACATAAATATTACAACACATCATGAATCTGAGATACAGAAGGACACTTTTAAAAAGCCTTTGGTTTGAACCAATGATCAACCCTTTTCAGACTGCTTTTTTTGGCTAAACTAAGCTCCGCCTTCATCCAGTCTTTGTACATATTGAGTCTGTGATGGCCTAACATTGGTGTCCCAGTCTGTGAATTCACATTGTGTTTTGGCGTTGAGAAAGCACGGCACAGCATGAGCTCCACATACACACACACACAGTCAGACATGCACACACACACAGCGCTGCGCTCCCTGGATATGGCTCCACTGAAATGATCTCACTCTTTACATCTCTACCTCTGAAGACAGTAAGACACCCCCCCCCGCCCCCATTACAACCTCAGCAACATTAAGATCCAAGGCGAGACTTCACAGGGGCGTAAACGGCGTCTCCTCCGCCACTGTTGTTGACAAAGCTGAAATCATAAGTCCCGCCCCGTCTTGATTCTGATTGGTCGGTGAGGGAGAAGTGTGGCAGTTTTCAACTGAGTGCTGTGTGAGCGCTGCGACAAAAAAAACAACACTTTTAAGACGGTCTTTAAAGATGCCTTGAATATGCTGAACTAAAGAGCGGCCTTCATCCTGAGCACGGCTTACAAAACAGAAAAATGCAACATCTTTCAGTAACGCTGTCGTTGGAATGCGAGTCACACGCACAAACGGCAGAAACAAAGAGCGCCTCACATTGTGAGTCTGCAGCCAGTCAAGAGTAACGCATACTAATTCCTGCTTCTGATTAAAAGCAAACAGAACTATTAAAGTGAAAAACATAACCCTCGAAGGCAAAACGGATATTTTTCTATCAGAGGACGTCTCGGAGGTTCAGTGATACAGTGAGGGGGCTTTATGAGATAACACACATTCTCATGCTGTCTTCACCTGGGAATAACTGCACTGTTTATATTGGATAAATGATGTGAACCCTCTGCCCATGTGGCTGCGCTGCTGCTATGTGACATTTAGGAGGAAATGTAGCAATGGGTGAAAAAGGAGGGGGAGACAGATGGGTGTCAGGCAGGGATCAGAGGAGAGGTTGTACTGTAACTGCAGCGGTGGTTTGGATAACCATCATCGTTTTAGACGGTGATGTTTGATCAATACCTGTGGTCGCAGCGAGGGGGCGGGAAACAGCAGGAGAGAAAGGACTGAGAAGGTATCGCCTGATCTCAGGGAGTAAGTCAGCCATGGAGAGAATGAGAAAACAAAAAACTGTACAAAAAATAAAAACCAGCAGAGGGAGGGTGGAAAAAACTAAAATGAGAGAGAGCTATTCAAGTGTGAGAGAGCAACCCGAGGAAAAGACCAGCGAGAGAATGCAAGTCTGAATGGCTAAAACAAAAAACATAATTAATGCATTCAATCCCTGCAGAGGACTCTCATCCTGAATCTCAATTATTTTACGTTTACTACACACCGTATAAAATCAGCTTTTAGAAAGTGACAGCTGCCAAATGAACAGCTGAATACTCATTTAAATCAAGCTAATTGTAACGACTGTGAGCCGTCATTTGAAATATTGGCTGTGTTGTTTTCCTTGTTTGTAAATAGGTGTGCCAGTCTGATGATCTGATTGGCCGATCAATTTCCGGCTCCTATCAATGGTACGCTGCGGAGAGGTCTTTCAACAACAAAGTAGTCAATGAGCATCTTTAACTCGAGGTACATAGGCTGTAATATAAATGCACAGGAAAACAATATTACAAGTCTTACAGCTCGGTAAAGACAAGTGGCAATTAAAACACAATTTTGAAGTGCAGTCCAAATCGTTTTTCTTGTTTTATTTTTTTTCTGGATTAAGCACCTAGTTGTTTTACATTGAAAGGGAGTTGAGCGTGCTTTCTCCATCATGATGCCCACATTTTGGCGCCATTAACCCACTCAGTGCATTCTTTCCCTGCTCAGTGTAAAGGAGCTGTGTCGATTTTATATGAAATAAATGTCGTAGCCCAACTTATAGAGGGAATCAGAACTGACGTAAGAAAGACATATAAACTTGTTTTTTACTCTTCAGGTGAAACTTGTTTCGTCTATGTCAGGTGGCCTGCTGAGTGTTGTAAGAGAGGTTTTTGTTAACAGGGGATGAATAACACTTGTTGAAGTAGTCAGTAGCTTGGTTTTGAGGACCGAGCGGGCCCTTGTAATGCAGGCAGTCAACCACTTGAATAGAAAAGTGCACATTAAAAGGCTTGATGTTGAGATGCTGCTTCCTGGTCGCAGTCTAATTGTTAATACAGAAAAATAAGGAGTATTAGAGTTTCTCTCTCTCTCTCTCTCAGAGCATTTAAAGGAGATCTGTGATTCTCACTCTCACCGTTATTGATGTCAGTCTGGGATACCTATATAAATTTAGTAGCGTTATGAGATGTGTAGCTCAAAAAAACCTCATTATTTATCTCATACTGGCGTCAGTAAAATCCCTCATTTCAGCCTCTGACTGAAACGCTTCATTTCAGCTGCTGTCTCTTTAAGCCCCCCCTCCCCCCCCCTCTATTTTGATGGATCATCAAAATAGATCTCCTTTAAAAAAGTATTACCAAGTGTTTGTCCTACATTGTCTCACTGCTCCTTTTATGGAGACATACAGACGGTGCAGTATCATTTCTAATCAACCATGCCAGCTGTCATCACTTTGGCAGGACTAAAAAGGAAAAAAAAGACTTCTGTTATTTTTCAGAAAAGGAAGAGCAGAGGAAACATTTTCACTCAATTTAAGATGCTTCAATTTGGACTGGATCTGTTTTTTGAACAGAAACCAAAGAAAATGAGGCAGCTCGATTTCACACAATCTTTCATCCCACAAACACACACACACACACACACACACACACACACACACACACACACACACACACACACACACACACACACACACACACACACACACACACACACACACACACACACACACACACACACGTATCAGTCCTACCTCCAGTCGAATGTATTCGCTCTGCTCCTTTGAGATCATGTTCAGGATGGTGCTGCTGTGTTTGCGGGTTCGAACCAGGACTTGAACCCATGTCCTCCGGGCCGACAGCGGGGACGCCAACTGGAAATGCACGTGACTGTGGCCGTCGAAGGAATACTCTGGGACCTCTGACGATGGTACACACAAAAAAAAACACACACACACACACACACAATACTGTCAGATAGAGCTATAAATAAAAATAAACATTATTTTTTTAAATGCAAAACAAATGACTTTATACAATTTAAAGGTGCTTCACTTAAGGGGAAAGTGACCTCAGGTAACTTCAACTAAACCTAAAACCTCCCTCCTATATGCAGAGAGCTGTGCAGCAGGACACAATATTCAAAACACACAAAATAGAATATGTATGTGTGGTTTAGTCCGGGTTATGCTCGGTTCTTCTTTCTTAGACCCATGTTCCCCGAAGTGGATTTTGTGCATGCAAGGCAGAGCAAACAGAACACACCTAAGATGTTTTCAAAAGCCATTCTTCCATCTCGTCGCATATGCAAGGTACATTTCCTCCCATCTTTTTCCTGCAACATCTCCTTCCTCTTTGTCTCCTTTCCACGTTACTTCGATAGCGTTGAGTGGTTCATAAGATCCTCTCCTTGGAGGCGATATTAAATCCCACATTTCCTTTTTTATTTGTTCTAAGCACGCAATATGCAGCTGATCAACCATGTCTCCTCGGTACTCTGTTGTCTGCTCACCGTGCTTATCAAGGCCACAGAGCTGTTTGTGCAGAATGTGTGTGAAATTAAATATCTGTTTTCATATCAGTTTAACATGAATTGCTCTTTTCCAAAATGAGGATATTGTTGTTGTTACATACATGAGAAATGTCTGAATATTTCCCTCTAAGTCAGTATCTTCTCTGTTTATCTCTTATCCTCCCCACAATGTGAGCTCCGCAAAAACATGTGTGTGAAGTTTCTTGTTCTAAATCCACTCTGATCCTGTATTTGATCATATCTATAAACCCCTCTATTTCAGCCCTGATCAGAACATGCTGTTTTTGTGTCTGTAGCTTTAAATATGTAAATGAGCTGTGTCTGACCACGCCCCCCTCTCTGCAAGGGCTTGGGTGTACTTGGTGCTTTCTCGCTCCATGTCCTATTGTTTACGGTGAGAAGTCAGACTCAGAGGGCAGAACAAACACCTAGCTGTGGGAGTGTCACCCACCTGGGGGAGGGGCTACTTCCCTTTGTGATGTCATGAAGGAAAAATCTCTAAAGGCCTGTTTGAGCACACATTTTCTGAAAATTGGGGCAGGCAGAAGACAGAGAGGATGGACTTTTCTCATCATGAGGGGGAGGGGGGAGGTGTTGATTAGCTGGGGACACATTATAACCCAACACAGCTTTATAAAAATGTGGTAAAGTGTCACGTAATATGTGACTTTAAGTAGCTGTGACTCATTACATTCAGTTCATTAAGTTACCTCATGAGCTAATTAGCAGGCTATCCTTCTCGCTGACGGAGGTGAGATGTCTGTATAAAACTCACAGACATGACAACAACTCTCCTCTGATTATCTCCTTTCAGTAAGGATGGAACGACAGATGGCTGATTTCTCCCATTTATAAATCTTTCTTATTATAGCTATAGTTCTAGCTTTATTAAGCCTTTAACCAGAAAACAAGGCAAGATTTATTTTTTAGCCTTTGATGACTTTATTGAGAGAAAGGACAGCGGATGGAGTCAGAAATCTGTGAGAGAGAGAGAGAGAGAGAGAGAGAGAGAGAGAGAGAGAGAGTGGGGAATGACATGCAGGAAAGGAGCCACAGGTTGGACTCGAACCCAGGCCGTACATGGGGGTGCGCGCACTAACCACTACACCGTTAGACCACTAGGCTACCACAAGGCATGCATTGTTTGCTTTTTCTCTTTTTTTGCTGCTCTCAGCTCAAGTTGGCTTTTTTTCTATAAATGGATATGACATCACAATTATCGATCCAAGAAAAAGAAAATCTATTTTTAAAATCATCCAATAAAAACTCTAGATATATAAGTGAATGGATTTCCTGATCTGAACCCCTTAGCTCAAGGGCACAGTCCTTAAAAAGGGGTAGCATGCGAGGCTTCTTTCGGGCACTTCCATCCAGATAAAGTAACATCAACACAGTCTGTGTGTGAGAAAACAGCTCAGCTCCTTTTTCTTTCAAACACTACCTCATTGGTATTCCCATTTAAACCCACGTGCCCCTTGTTGGTGATTAACTCATAGCTTGTTGCTTATTCAGAACTATGAATCATCTCATGAATATGGTGAGTGATTCACATTTCTCTATTCATTAATTAGGTGACTTTGCGATTCTATGAAAGATCTATCTGCCCCCCATATTGGTATATATTGGTAAGCAGTGGATATCGTATTTATAATACTGAAACAAGGGGATAACTTTCTTTCACATGTTGTCAAAATAGTATTGACTTTATGAACTCAAACTTTCATATTCTATAGCAGCACATTTTTAGAGAGTCCAGTCAGGCAGCCTCGCTCTGCGGTATACAAGACAAGAAGCAAACAGTGGTGCAGCCTGTCAGCAGAAAACGCCACGTCAGCAAAAAGTATCTCTGAAGCTGTTCTCCTAAGTCTGCAGGAAGTGTACAACAGGTGGTCCAAGACCTGGGGGGGTGTGGGTCATTAAAGCCAACACATTGAGGATTTGCTTACTGCAGGATGTAAGGATCCTTAATATGGATGCTGCATGCTGCTCTCTGACTATAACAAGAGTTACAAAGCAGTAATGAAGTAACCTCAAAGGTAAGGCGATGTAAATTTATTTATGTATACATTTAAAAATATAAGAGTACGGCAAACCAGCTTAGGGTTTGTGAAAAAGCAGGGAGCGTTGTGTTCCAATAATGTAATTGAGCCTCTGACCAGCAGGGGGCGATATAAGACATGGACGTTGTTTAATGCTGCATTCAGGTGCTCCTCGGATTGGTCCCACTTTCGAAGAATCTTAATATTGATAAAACATCTTTTGCCTTGCATGTGATGACAAATAGAATGTCAACATGGAAACAGCAATGTGGTTAATTCTTTCCTGAGTTTACAAGTTGTTGTTCCGACTTGAGCAGTCGTTCATGTGCACACCACATGAACGCAGCAATAGTGACGTCATTCACTGATTCCTGAAGTGGGGTTTTAAATCCGAACATATTGGAAATGCTGCCTCTAACTTTAGATACATGTAGGATACCTAAAAGGTGGATTTGAGCTGGGACTTTAGCCTCCTGAAAAACAGATGTCACCCACAGGTGCACCCACCTTTCAGTCAACTCAGTCACACCCTGAAGTATGGAAGTTGCATAACTCTTAGCATCGATGTAATCAAAATAACCCTAACCCCAAGTACAGAAGAAATCCTATTTTGAACCAGGCTGTAAAAACGTTTATTTCTGACGTTAACATGAGCATTCAAAGCTTTTGCAGCAAGCCTCAAGTGGACACCTGAGGAACTGCACGTTGGCTTCATATACCAAATAATGTCTATCATCTACTCAAGCTTTATTCTCGTACATGTTAACAGAACAGGAGGCTCATTCACTTTTTTCTTTATGAGGACATTCAGCTAAATTTAATTGACTGATACTTAACACTGTAACACCCCCCCATCCCCCCCCCCATTAAATAAAACCTGTTCTACATCACTGTGACTGTGAGAGAGAAATCAGCCTGTAACCTGCTAATGTCCCACTCATACTTCTTATTACTAACCATAAACCCACCATCGTGTTTCGCTGTCCTTCAGCCAAAGCACTCTGTGAACGTGTTCTGTGTGTGATAATTATCGGATACTTCAAAGTATTGTCAGGTTTAAATTTAGAAGCTGTTTCAGTTGAGGAAGCAACATTTTTGATGGACTTCACTGTTGCATCTAGTTGTGGTTCATAGCTAAACTTTTCCAGCATAAAACAAAACATTTAGCGCCAAATGATCCTTCCAGGACACGTCATATATTTAGTTGTTTTTTTTTTTACTGTTGATGGTTCCACCTCAAAGTGAATGTAGTCCAGGAGAGTTTGGCTTACCCTCGTCACACTGGTGTCCCGTGTATCCCGGCACACACTGGCAGCTGAAGGAGCCCCACTCGCCGTGACAGCGACCTCGGTGGCCACAGGACGGATAGCCCATGTTGACACAGCTGCTGTCAGTGGTCAGGCAGCCCGGAGAGCTGGATTGAGAGTCGGCCGGGGAGCCCAAATCATACAGCTGAATGGAAGAGATAGCAGACGACAAGGAGGGAGAGAGTGAATGTGAGATAAGGTGAGCGGTGACAGGCGGAGGACGGAGGGGGGAAACGAGGGAGGGATCAAAAGAAGAATACGAACAAGAGGTTAAGAAGAGAAAAGCTTTAAAAAGAACAAAAAAAAAACGAGTTAAGTTGAGATGAGAAGATGGGAAGTTAGAAGCCTTGCCAACAAGTAAGTAGCTTAAAAACCACAGAGAGAGAAAGACTAAGTGACGGCAGAAAAAAAGGGATCGCATAACTCACAGGACAGAGAGGTAGGGGGGCACGTAGTGAAGGAGAGGCTCACATGTAAAAAAAAAAATTAAACAGAGAGGAAATTCAAGAATTCTGGAGGGAAACTTTGAAAAGTGTTGAAGGACGTGAGCTCAGGGACACACTCCGGCCTTCATCTGTCTCTCCCCCCCTCCCACTGTGATCAATACCAAACACAGGAGTGATTCTCAAACAGACCAAAAACATGGCCCGCTGTGCAGGAACCTCACAGGACGGGGGAACCTTGAATGTTTCAATTTGTGTCCCTCACAAAAAAAACACAACCATAAAGGACATTAATATGTTCCATCTCCTCCTCCCTGCTTCAACCCCCAAAACTTTACGAGTTGTGTTGGTGCCGCTGTAAGGACGCAGGAATGCAACAGATTGTAAAAAAAAGTGTCAAAGTCATGCCGCCGGGGAGCTGCTGATTGGCTGAGTGACCTCCAGCAAAGAGGCTTCTTATTGGTTGCTGACCTTTAAAGGCTACTGCTTGTCTGTTTTGCAGGGTTTAGACAGGGTTGTGCTGATTGCTGAGCAGTGTAACAGACATGAGCGATCAATGACTAAAAGACACTTTGGAGTGGCCACTGTGTCTCTCTCTCTTTGTCTGAGAAAAAACCATTCAGACTGATGTATGAGTAAAGCACAAAAATACACCTGTTTCTACTGAAATACCATATTGTAGCTCAAGCTGTGCAGACTGACACATCCATGTGGTCTGTCTTGTTTGCAAAGATGAATTTCAGGTGTTAGGTTATAAAATATTCCGGCCGATGGGGAGTGATGTATGCGCAGAATGTGAAGATTAAAGCTGTGGAGTCAGTCGCAAGCGACCCTGTCTCTAAAGAGAAGATGATAGAATACAGAATTTGAGATTAATGTCAGACTGAAAGAGAAAATGATTTAAAGAATCTCTGGAAATACTGAAAGACAAACCACATGAAACACCAACACACAGTTAGAGTAAGATTTACCTGAAACCAACATATGCGTTCAAAACATCTAACCCTTAACACCGAGTCACTACATTTCAGCGGCCCATCATCAAGTAATCACTCTTCCCCTAACAGGCTGTTTGCCTTGTTGGGCTTTCGATGACACGCCGAGGAGATCGTCGACCGTCTGTCCAGCTGAGGGATCATCGCCCTAGTTTTTGCGGTGTCTCCAGCTCAGTCACTAACAGTTCCCGTTTTTGGGCCGATTCGAAATGTTGTATTGGCGTCGGTCGGCATCGAGCAGTTGGTGAGATGAATCTCTCTGATTGGCTGTTTGGAGGTTTCACTCAGGTTCAGGAAAGCTCCTTGAGCATGTCTCTGTAGTATCCATGCTTTCACCCATTAGTGTGGTTTCTCCTTATTTGTCTCCTCCTCCTCCTCTTCTTTTCTTTTTCCACTGAAAGACCAAGAGCTGACAACGCCAGCGCCATTTTCTACTTTTTTATCAGACATTATTCTCCATTAGTAGACGACCTATGATACGAGTGGTGAGCGACAGCGGTGTGAAAATGGTCTTCTCGTATCATAACAACGTATTACCGCCCCCTGCTGGCATGGAGAGTTATTTCCTCTCACGCATGAGCAGAACGTACGTGGTAACGTAACGTGGTGGTTGGCCGTCGGCTGTAATCTTTGCGGTGTGTTCAAGTGCAACTTTTCGCCCAAGACAAAGGGCGATGTGAGGCGACGTCACAGGCAGCTTGGTGTGTCAGGGACTCTAAGAGTTGGGCTTTAAATGTTTTACCAACATCAGATGCTTGATAAACATATAGGTGCAAAAATCAACAGTATGTCGAGGAAGGAAAGGTGGAAGTGAAAGAACAAGAGGGAGATAACAGAAGAATACATATGGCCTGTAACCTGACAGGGACCACAAGAAAGAGCTCAACAGCCTCTCAAGAAACTTCATTCAACAAACACCTGTCCCAGACACAATTCATTCATCATTCATCGTTCATTCAATTGATTAATCGAGGTTCTTCAACGAGCGCCTGTCAAATGATTTTTAAAACCACCAGAAACAGTCAGGCAGCAGATTCTGTCTCAGAATATGTTCTGGCACGATGACAATGAATGTTTTCAACAGAATGCTGCACACTGTCTTCAACAAGTCATACTTCTTTTTTTTGTTGCAGAGAAAAGCTGTAAAATCCAACTCCCACTCAGAGCTCCCAGCATGCATGGAGCTATTACCCCGGAAACTGCAAATATCCATACTTTAAAAATGGAATGACAGTTTTGTCAAAAACTAAAATAAGTGAAAAACGTAAAGCATGATACAGTGGGAGCTGAAGGGAGAAAAACAGCAGGATTATGACAGGACAAGAAAACCAAATGATGGTGAATAGCAGCCGGAGGGAAGAGACACAACTCCAGAATAGAAATACAATTATTATAAATCAGAAACACATTTTCCTGGACACAACCTGCCGTTTGCTTCAGTCTACCCTCCTCTTCATTCACACAGCCATGCATCACACTTTAATTAGGTTTTAATCGAGGTGACATGGTCCTGACCTGCTGTACACTCCGTCTGCCTCCAACAAAACAGAAACACACTCAAGTATGAAACGACATAAAAGATTGATCCAGACACAGTCGCACATGTACACACAAAACAACAACAGACAAGTCTGTGAAATAACAAGACAACAAAAAGCAGCGTGTCTGTCTATCAATGTCAAATACCTTTAGCACATAACAGGCACTCACACACCAAGAGGAAAACAGATGATGTTGCCATAGCAACAAATGTGACACATTAGCACATTCTGTGATAATAAGTACAAATGTAAAAAAAAAAGACAGAAAAATAAGTCATACAATGTCAGAACGTGTCCATCAACATTATTAATCATCAGTACGCCCACTGCTGCTCTGTGGAGATTTATTATCCTCATGTCCGCCCACACATCTCATGCAGATTTCTCTCATTAATACACAACGTTTGTGCAGCCTCCCGCCACGTCTTCTCATGAGGTACCACACATCAACAAAAAAAAAGCTTTTAGCATTGCAGCTGGAAAGAGAAAAAAAAAAAAGATTCCTTTTATGTGGCCACTCTTGAGATTTAGCATCTTAATGAAGCTTTTGATCCATGTAGCCTACATGACGGGGTATAAGGAGGTTACGAGTGGCACTTCAGGCTCCCATTGGTACACCTGATCAGACTCGATGAACGAAAGAAAAGCTTTACTCTAAATTAGATAAAAGAACACTGAAAATATTTGAAACTTTTTCTCATCGTAGACTAACTATTAAAAAGTTCTACAATTTGGTTTCAATGTTACTGTTTGAAGTTAAAGTCAGGGTTGGTCATTTTCAAAAAACTAGCATGATTTTGAAAGTAGCATTCCCTCAGTGCCCCGTCTGCACCCCCTCCCCTCTGTGCTCCCTCTAAAGCCACGCCCCCTCACTTACATGTCATCTCATGTCTCATTCAGCGGTCAGTAAACTCTCAGTATAAACTCCTAAAGTCATCAGTGACTCGCTTTGAGTGTGAGCTAGAGCACAAGGTAGATAGCGAGCAGGGAGACAGGGAGGCGTCTGATTGGTTCATCAGATTGGTACCTCGTGGCAGACATTGGTTGAAGTTTTTACAGATTTACAAACTGATACAGATGATGGATTTTCTTTGTTCCTTTTTCAGAGAACATGAGTTATTAGTTTCTGTCAGGACCTAAAGACAACTTCAACCAAAATCTTAAAAAGAAAATGACCAACCGCGCCTTTAAAGACAGGCGGAGGTCATGTTACAACATCAACTCAGCACATAATGAAATTGATGCAATAACTACAAAATGTGGGGCAGATGATGCTCATTGGTAAAGCGGGTCGTTTGCGAGCTTGATCCTTTGCTGCATGTAATCCCTTCTCTCCTCTCCCAACATTTCCTGTCTCTGTTCAGCTGTCTGATCCAATAAAGACCAATATGCCCCCCCCCCAAATAAAACATTACTGTATTAGCATCATAGGTATCTTGTTGACACTAAAAACTCACCATCACCTTTGCACATAATGGAATCAATGCAACAACATCATGTGTGATAATGCACGTGTTGCGGCTGTGGCTCAGTGGTAAACATGTTTGTCTCCCAGCTGGAAGGTTTTGGGGGTTTGATTCCCAGCTCCTACAGCAGGGTTATTCAACTATATTGTTCAAGAGGCCAAATTTTCAGAAAGCTAAGGAACCGAGGGACGGACAAGCAAGCCCACCACAGCAGTACAGTGTGAGAAAGCCATTTTCTTTTCTCCATCAACAACACAAGCTTGTGATAGGCTGAGAGCACAGGACCAAAGATGTTCTATTAAACGGGAGCGCTCTGCTGTTTTTAACACTTTACGGCTTTCATCCCCTGGGCCGCAAGTTGAATAGGCCTGTCCTACAGTCACATGTCAACATGTCCTATAGCCTAGACATTAAGGTGATTAGGTGAAACTAATGGACACTTTGCAAAGCATCATTTCTTCCTGGTTGCTTAGGGTAGACCAATGATCTACTGTGGGTAAAGTTCTTATATTTTCTTCACAGCGAAGTAGCAGAAAGTACAACAAAGACCAAGTCCTACATGCTGCCACCATTTTTAAAATCCCAGAACAATGGCCTTTACAAAAACTCTACCGTGTACCAACATTTTAACTTCCATAAATCTTGTGTATTTGAGCGCCTAGGCACACACAGAGAGCTGCTCAGAGTTAAACTTTTAAATGTTTTCAACTTTTTTTAGATACATTTTTTAGAGCTTAAATGTCTTACATGAAATCAGAAACTAGGGAGAGAGAGAGTGGGGACACGCCCACTTCGAGGACAACTGGCACTGGGAGTGGGGGCGAGCTAACTAACAGCTATGCAAGGGTCAAAACACAAAACATACCGGCCATGCAGTGACAGATTCTACATTCTACCATGGATCTTTTTGTGTCCTAAAGGTTCCTCGTTGCATCAGTAGTAACACAGTCTAAAGGGGTTCTGACCTGGCAGGAGCCACATTTCTCACTTAGACAGAGAACCATTTTGAAAAGGAGGGTGGGTAGAAATTGCAGCAGAAAATACAACTTTAATCAAAATGCCAGGCTTTGGAAGAAAGTGGCCTCACAAAAAGGCTGCCATACCGGAGGCCTGTGTTCATAGAGCAATGATTTGAGGTTTTGTTGGGGGAAAGGCTCAACATTGTCACGGCTGAGCACGGACGCCTTGACTTTCACTCCAACAGAGCCATGGAAGTTTACTTGAAAGTGTAAAGGTTCATCTTCTGTTTCGCTGACCGAGTGCACGTGTGTTATGTTTGAAAGGGCTTTGAGGTCGACAGTTAAAAGCGTAAGAAAAAGGTCTCTTACATGGCACAAGGGTGCTGTGAAGGTTGAGCCCTGTTATTAATCCATTTATCAGCATTAGTGCAGGTGTGAGTTTCCCCTCTCCTTCCATTGCTGCCGTTCTAATGGCAGTGTGGTTATGTTACCGGTGTGTACGTGTCCCCGTGTTACCTTGCTGTCCACGATGAGGTTGCGGATGCAGCCGGTGAAGTGTTTGTGCTGAAGCTGAGGGTAGATGTACGGGATGTCCTCGTTCACCCCGCCGAGCTGGAGCACGTGGCTCATGTTCAGGTGTCTGAAACACACAGAGGCATGGACACACATTATTCAACAAGCAGACAAAAAAGTCTTAATGGTTAAATAGGTACAATGTTCAGGATAACTTAAAAAAAAAAAAAATCCAAAGCAGCACATTAGAGATGAAGACGTTTTCACTTTTGTTTGGGGCGGAATTGAAGCGATGGTTTTAGCTTTGCAATCAGCTCTCTCATATTTAAGACTTTCCAACATTCAACCCAGTAAATCAATCATGTTGGCCACAAACAGAAGATTCTGCTTTCAATCTTAAAAATCAATAACAAAGTGATTTAATAAAAGTTTGGGCCATTCACTGTGGAAGAAAAATCTGTAAACACAGCACTGATAGAACCACATTATAAAGGGGTTTCTTTACACACATTTCCCTGACATGGAATAATATGGGCTTTTATTTTTGCGGTTTCTGGATAAGTGTAGCTTTAAGATGACAATAAAAGCATTATCAACATACCATCAGGTGTCATCATGCATGACGACGGAGCAAGCTCAGATTACAAATATGGATGCAGCCAAGTGTCGTAAAAGTGAAGTGTGTTTCCTGTATTGTGTATGTTCATTTAAGAGTTCTGAACAGTTTTTCCCGGGAGCTCCTGAGCTCTCATGTTCCTCAGGATCGTTGGTTGGGACGGCCTGCTGCTAAGGACCTTCATCCTATCCCATCTCCCCCATTCCATTTTTCAAGCAGACGTCTGTTCATCATGAGTCTAGTTTTGAGATTTCTGCCTCTTTAAGGACCTTTTTTCTCACAACTGTAACTTTGCTAAATGTTGCTAATCGCTACGCTCATGCTGGATTAACGTTGAGTCTTTGTAACATAGCAATGAGTGAGGTCTTTCACCTGCTTTTTGTAAGGTGTCTCGAGATAACACTCGCTATGAATCGACACTATACATACTGAGTGATATTTGGTTGAAATGAGCTCATCTCAGAGTATGGTGCATGAATCAAAGGTACGGTGTAGAAAAGTGGTACAGTTATTTTTGGTACACTCTGGAAGTATGAATATTCATCTGCAGCCCTCTCATGACTCCTGCACTGCTGCATCTAACCTCTTCATATTGTAGTTGTTTTTACAGGATACAATAAAATCATCAGATGTTTTCACATTTGTGAACAGGGAAATAGGTAAATATTTAAACTATGTTGGAATAACACTTTATCTCCATCCTTCAGATCCTCTGACCATCATCAACCAGAAGAATACAGGCACATATGATCTACGATCCCAGGACCTTTTATTACTGTCTCTTCCAAAAGTCAGAGCTTAACTGGGGAAAAAGGCGTTTAAGATTTCTGCTCCCTTTACCTGGAACGAGCTGAGACTTAACGAGCTGCTCTTATTGGACACTTTTAGGAGGATGTTAAATGACTTGGAGGCGGACACATCTGGCTGTAGATGTTTTCCCTGATGCGTTTGTGGGCACCCGTCACGACTGATAAAGTTTATTCGATGCAAAGCTTAGCCGCTCCGTTACGCGTCTCCACAACCTAGTTTTTTTTTTTTTTGCGACCAACATGTGTGTCCTGCAGGGCCCTGCACTCATGTCCTTTTATGGGCATAAGTGGGCGGTTACCTATGCTAATTGGGAACAACATGCACACGCTTTCAACTTGCTAACAAAAGGAAAGAATATCACAGCTGCGCACAATTCAGTCATTTAAGAACCCGTTGATGAATCTGAAGGAGAGTCAGAGAGAGTATTTTTTGCGCAGCAGTGAAGTGCAGATTTTTTATTTATTTTTCATGGTATGTTCCTGCAACCGTGCGCACCTGAGAACTTATAGGCTGTGCGCGGGGTAAGATACCATCATAGTGTTTATCGGATACTAATTAGTAACACCTGTCACTAGAAGGGCTTTTGAGTAAGCAGATGAATTCCACTACATGACTTCTTGTTTCTTTTTGTGCACAAACTCAGTTTGATTCAACATAGAGAGTAAACATGGCTCACATTGAAAGCACACTGAGCACCTCTATCTGTCTCACAGCAGAAGTCACATGTTCGTGTGCACGTCGGTGTTGGTGTGTGTACCTGTCAGTGTTGGGTGTGACGCCCGTCACCTCGCAGGATGAGTGGTCTTCTGTGGTCAGCCAGCTGCCCAGTCCCTCCATCTCCATCACTGCTGCTCCTGAACAGCGATCCAGAGTGAACCGCACCTCCTGAGGAGAAAGCAAACACAAATGATCTTATAAAGAGAAACCAAGTGCGTTAATAAAGCGCCCTATTTTCCCTGCAATATAACGAGAGTACCCCCTGCTGCAGTCAAGTGCTCCTTCCCCATTATCACTATAGCGGGAGCTGCCTTCTGACTCACAATCCTTTCATTAGGGCATATTACTCTTCTGCTGCCTGCGAGGTTTCCTGTTATTGCACAAATAACGACAAAAAAAACAAGACTTCGCATCTCAAACTGCCGTTTTCCAATAATTTAGATATTGGTGTATTTATTTGTAAAGCAGTAACCATGGCAACCTGTTTCCAAACAGCTAGAGTCATTTATTTCACCTAATATTTAAATCATCAAACATGTCCGTAAGAACATTATAAAGTCTTTTAATCTGTCAGCTTTCTTGATTCTTATTTTATTCTGAAAACACCACAGCACCTAAACACTGATGTGTTCGTATGCAGCTGCAGCCGTTAGGACTGTGACGACTGGGACAACTATAAAGCCTCTAAATGAGGTCTGCACGATGCAGGATGTGCAGTGGAGAGGAAACAGAGAAACACATGCCTCGCTGCTTGTTTTGCAGCTTGATTCAAATCTTCCAGGTTCTCTTTTTAACAACTTGTCTATAAGAAAAGTCCATCGATGTCACGTTTGTGCAGCCGTGCGTTTGCATGTCCCCTGCTCGTAAACATGCACGCAACGCTGCAGCTCCAACAGACAAGCTAGCCTGTTGGTGCCAATTTGGATTCACAACTCAAAGTGTTGTTTATGTTAGAAGCCTTTAAAAACCTAAATAAAGAAATGATGGATTAGTCTATTTTTTATTTAATTGTGGTGCAGCCCTACTCCAGTGTGTCCAAAAAGCACACCTTTTTTAAAATCTTTAATCCCTGGCATCTTTGCAACCCTAAAACAAGCCAGTTATCACACTTTCTGTAGATCAACATTTTAAACAAAGAGCGGGCCATTTTAGAGAACATATCTGTATTCTTTAAATGATTCTCCTGATATGTGTAAAAAGAAAGAGTGAGTACTTAAAGCCAATGATTCATTGACACAGACGAGAGGCCGTTCTGGAGATTTGACAGAATCAAGCAGTTCTTACTTTGTTTTTAGGATGTTTCCCTGGTTTCCTTATTTAAATGGTAAATGGACTTGAGCTTGTATTCAGATTCAGATTCAGATTTTTTATTGTCCCACAAGGGGAACTTTGCGTTGCAACAGGAGCACACAGAAGACAAGAAACACAAGAACAACATCACCATAAAACATAAACAAAAACGAATTTGAAAATCAGACAACACAGCAAAATATAAAACCAAATAAAAACAGCGCAATAAAATCAGTCAAGAGCCCACACCAGAATGGAAATTCAAGTTATTAAAGTGCAAAGTGGAGGTGTGCAAATGTGCAATTCAAGTGCAAAAAGAGCAACAAATAGCTCATAAAAAATTTCCCCCATGGGGGATCAATAAAGTTTATCTTTATCTTTATCTTTAATTGTTGTTTAACATATTAATTGCACTTGGTAAAAATGAGACCTGGAGTCTTTTAGTCTTCCTCACAGGAGCTCTAAAATGACGACCCGAGGGTCAAAGGTCAAACTCACTGTGAAGTGGGTGATCTGGGATCACAAGTATGGCCCTAGCTTTCCTCAGGACCGGCTGATTATACAAGGTCAAAAGCCCAACCTGACACCTCCCTGAAATGTATAGTTCTTTTCTAGTTTTCTGACAAATCAAAGCGCTTTTACATCGCAGGTCACACCTACACAGTCACACCTACACAGTCACACCTACACAGTCACACCTACACAGTCACACCTACACAGTCACACCTACACAGTCACACCTACACAGTCACACCTACACAGTCACACCCTGATGGTAGAGGCTGCTGTGTAAAGTGACAGTTGAACTTCTCGCCCGCTGTCTTAAGGACTGAGTCTCTGCCTATGTGTAATCTAACCGCTTAGCTAAACCTGCATCCATCTGTGAACACAAGCTGGCCACTTCAAGATTTAATTTCACTTTTAGAACCAACATCAACAGGAGGAACGTGTTGGGAGTGAGCAGCTTATAAACTCATATTTTAACCAGCTGTCAAAACCAGCTGAATGGACAGTGGCATAAATGAGCTCGATCACATCACACACACAGTGTTTGTTTGCAGAATGAATCCTTAACACATACTGGATACACCAACAACAATCCACTAACCACTTCACTTCGACTTCAGCTTTATTACGTTTGCATCAATGGCTGTATACAGGCGGCCAAAGCTCATTGTCTATGTCGTGTACAGCATCTGTTCAGAGAAAAATCAAACACTTTGGTTGGTTTACATTTCACTAAACGTTGTTGTAAAATTGAGCTGAGCCATGCCCCATGGTTAGATTCTCGGCAGCAGAACAGTACAGTACATTTACAGTACATTACACAACGACTGCAATGTTCCCGATCAGGTCACACGCCCGCGCCGCGTTCAAGTCAGGACAAATGAATAGATTCACAAGTGATTAAAAATAATGCCATTGTGATGCTGAATAATCCCCTTTTTGTAATCACAAGAGCCCCGATTCTTCTTTTTGTATTCATGCTGTTCAGAACAAAGCTTTAGTATCACCCAAAGTCACGGTGCATTCATGGCTGCTCTGTCGAGCAAATGGAGTCTGTGTTGCTGCCGCTGTCAGTGTGACCTGACCTTACACCCATTTCTTTTTCTTTCATTTAAAACATATTTAAGCAACAAAGAAAATTAGCCAAACCTGTGCACAGATACAATTCAAGTAGAAATGCGAAGTTCCTGATGGAGCAGCCTTCATAGAAAAAGTTAGCGTTTAGTTAACAGAGAGTGTGTGTGTGTGTTTGTGTGTGTTTGCAGGTGTTTTTAGGAACCAGCTCAATGAAGAGAATGAAGCTTTTCATGAGGCTGCGATGAAAAGGCTTTAGTTTTGGTTTTGACAAAACAGTCTCATGCTCTTGCTGACGCTGTCCTCCACTAATTTGGGTAAGTTTAAAAAAAAAGAAAGAAAAAAGTCGGTGTTCAGACGCAGCCTGTCCAGCTGCTTCAAGGTGTCCTGAGCTCACAGACTGTGAGACTGTGAGGATTGAAGTCTGCAGTCTCAGTCTGGGGCTTCTCTCAAAGACTCTAAAAATAGGAAACTCGTCTCTGACAGTCCTCCTGATATTCAAGAGAGAGCCGTAGATATGTGGGAGTCCT